CTGGAATTAAGTTATACAGAATGATAAGGGAAACTCGGGTTGAAAAAATTGGGAATATTTGACTCTACAAATATTAATTTCTATGGGTATAGGAGGCTGATTTAGTATTTGCCTTTTTCAATAGCAGAGCAGCAACTGATGAACAGGTTAATGGAAAGAAAATGAGATTTCAGATTTACTCTGTGTTTTTTGTGGTGGGGGAGTGGTCACTCTGTCCGAGTCTAGGCTATATCACGCGAAAACAATTTGCAGGAGCTCTTTGCTTTTCTCAGCCGTCATTGCGAATAGACAGCAATATGTCCTTGCCGAAGTAACAAAGCATGAGCAGCTAACTAAGGGCACACAAGTCTGTAGTAAAACAAAACTTAGACACCTGCGGAATAACATGGAAAGATCAGAATAATAGCAAGATGCGAGAATAAGTTGCAACAAGCATGCGATTCCAAGAGATGTTTATTCATGGAAAAAAGTATGCAGAGAAGGTGTAAGCAATGCATTGCGGACACCATGCACTGCAAGCCCTGTCTAAGATCGATGTGTGATCAGCTAAACTCCTTGGTTACAACAAAGGAATGATAAGTGTTAAGGGAATTAAGTGATAAAATGTGTCTGCCAAAACAGAAGCTAACAATTGTCTAGTGATTCATTTAAAAATCTATTTAAAATCCTAATTCCTATGCGTGAAATCTCACAGGCTCTGCAGCATTCAAGCCAAAAACTGCTAGCATTTATTTCATAAGAACGAAAGGTGAAAAATAATAAGATGTCTATTAATCTCAAAAGCCTATTTCAGATTCCTCCCTGCAGTCATCTGCAACTTTATTTTATAGGGAAAAAGACAGACCTGCAGATCTCTCAGCAAATTCTGTGCGGTTGACAAATCTTTGGAATAGTCAGAACATGGTTGGGAAGAAAAAGTCGGGAAATGGTGTGTGGGTTGATGGCAAGACCTGCTTTGTGGATGACATGCCTTTGGCAATCATCGCTTCCTTTTGGAAAGTAGAGTCCTTTTCAGGGTTTTTTTTTAGCTGTCAGTGCAGAAGATGCAGATATACACAAGCCAGCGTACAAAACACCACGGCATAGCAATTACAGATATCTGACTCTGACCATCAGTAGTGGTCGAAGTGCATGGGTGTTACCCTAGGATATCTTCATGCCACCCACCAGGGCACAGGGTGCAAATAGTTGTCAACTTCAGGTAGCGACAGTAAAGGTTGTTAGCGGAGGGGGGGGAGGGGGGCTAGTGACTTGCTGAAAAAATTAGCTTGACCGGCTTAAGCTGGTTAAACTGGTTCACCAGCTTGAGGTATGATTTCGTAAGATAGTTTGATGGTTGAGCTGGTCGTACCATCTTATGATGGGCATTCTAACTGGTCTAGCTGTGACCAACTGGTAACTCGCCGAGCTAAACCATCAAAGAGCAGCAAGAACTGGAATATGACCATCTAAGACCATCTTAGACCAGCTAAAATCAGCTACCACTATAAACTGGATTTTATCTGTTTTTTCCAGTATGGCGCTTGAGGGCCACAATTTCGAGATATGCCCCTGGTTACTGTTAAAGTGCCAGCAGTTTCTCAGAAAATTTCCCATGTCGCCCTTGCCAGGATCCGCCACAGATGTCAATGGATGAACTGTCAAACTGAAGAGCGTATACGGGCATCGTTAGACAGTGTGCTAAGAGTGTTAACCGGTCCACAAGACAATTGACATGATTTTAACATCCCAAAATAATGTAGCTAAACAGGCATAATATAAAGAATTTACTTAAGGCTATTATTTTAGGGATGGTTTGTACTCCATTATAAAGGAATCTATAGTGCATTATAGATGAGAGCTTCATAAGGCAGTCATAATGCATAATAAACATGGCTATAATGTGTTATACCTTTTTATAAAATTATAATGCTTTATTAACACTTATAAGGCAGTATGAATGTGTTTATAAATTACTAAAAATGTGGCCTTAAGTAAAGTGTTACCAAACTTTCTGTTGGTGTGACTTAATTAGGCCGCTAAGGTTTCCACTGATTTAACAGCTTATGAAGTGGAAGAGCTATCAAATAGTAATAAATTCATGGATACCTACATGATAATCTGAGAGCAAGTGAGATGTTCAGGCATTTATCTGTGGTTGAGTTCGTTTTTGGCACAAACCAGCTAGCTGATGAGTTCCCCTATGTGGCACCTGCTTACATGCACGAATGTTAATGATGTCTCATTAGTGGAAATTACCGACTTAATGAGTCTTACCTGTCAGATATGGCTTTTTATTGATGGGAGATACCAAACTGGGTAATTCAGAAGTGTGGTGAGACGGAATAGTTCACAGTAACAGGAAGAAAGAGACGAGCACTGCTTTTAATCATATTACCACAAAAGGCAAGTGAAATGCTACAGTTTAAAGTTCAAGATACTTAATAAACAATTAATGAATTGTTACTTCATTTATGGTGTTCCCTCCATGGTTATTGAACGCACCTTTAATAGGAATCATTAGAGAAGCTCATTAGATCATAATCATTACAACATGTAATGTTACAACCAACAAAAACTGAATACAGTGATGTGTTTATCTATTGCAAATTGCCCAATATGTGAATAAGCAAAGTTACAACTTAATGCCGCAACAAACTGAAATTTCACGTATAAAGCATTTTTGTATTAAATACTCACAGTGAAATTGTTTTATCTGTTCATTTGTTGATTGATTTTATATGATGAATATAGCACCACATTACACAAATAGTGTCATGTCATGTGACAGCCCTCAACATAAATCTGTTTCACCATTTTTCACACATGGGTTGCAGCTGGTGGGTGGATCAGCTGAACACGCTACACTGTGACTGCATGTGTTACATGTATCTTTATAAATTCATAGCAGCACACTTCACAGACCGTAAAAAGTGATATTTTGCCAGCCCAACGTGGTGTCCATGTATTATTTAAAATGTATATTAAACTTCAGCTTTGATGAGAGAAGACACTGCAACATTTTCTCTATGTTGTCTATTAATAAGCAAGATTATTGTAATTGATTATAAAATGAATGTGAATATAATGTATTGTGTATATAATTGTAAAAAGAAGATCTAGAAAATCGGAGCTAATCAATATGTTTGATCTCCTCTGGGGCATATTGAATTAATTTCTGCCAAATGAGCCTTGCATTCCATTGACATAAAGATGACAGATTGCACTTGGCCATTGAATGTGAAGTGTAGGTTGAAAAAACGACAGAGCTGATATGATTTTACAAGGTACAGACATTCCGCATAGCATCTGTGATTCTCACAGAAGCATTTTGGGTGACCTAGATAGTCTGCCTACTTATTAAAATGTTGCTGTTGCAAAATCTGCCAAAGACACACAATGAACTTCCTGAAACGCCGCCCTTCCATGATTAAGTTGCAAATTTAGACAAGGAGAGAGAAGCGCCGTATTCTCTTGGGATATAAACAGCCCTCAGAATTTATTTTGATGCCAGTATCTGTTTGCATTGTGGCGCGTAACCTCCGTCCCTATGCCTATTGTTTAAAAAAAAATAAAAATGAGAGAGCACTCCATCATTAAACTGAGTGAAATCTGGAGCACCTCCACCCCCCCTAAATCTATTTGCTGGATACACAGAGCCTGCTAATGATGTCTTTTCAGTTCAAAGCAGTCGACGTGTCCTCCGGTGAGAATTAAATCAACAGACAGACTAGGGTGGCAGAGGGAGGCGCTGGGGTGTAAGGGGTGCAGGATGGCAGAGGGAGGCGCTGGGGTGTAAGGGGTGCAGGATGGCAGAGGGAGGCGCTGGGGTGTAAGGGGTGCAGGATGGCAGAGGGAGGTGCCCCTCAGATGGCTATTTGAAGGACTGCCTCAGATGTGAAGCTCAACCGCGGGTACCCACCCTCAGAGAGCCGGCGATTCCCCAGACGTGGCCAGCCGTGAACGCTGGCAGGGGAGGTCTGTACCGGATGTCACTATCTGCCATTCAGACATACACATGTCATAGTAACCACAGAAACGGCAGGTAAATGGGAGACGGGCTGAAATAAACCCAGAAAACGGGCACAGGGACTCCTGAGATGTGCAGACATGGAGACTTTTGTGGTAAAAAAGCCCAGGTTAGTTTTATCTGTGTAATGTAACACGCCATTTTAAGCCATGAATGATTTTTTATGTTCATTTTTTTTTATTGTCGGCAATACAGTATCTTTATTACAGGTGTGCTCAAACACGTATGATTGTGTAACATATAAACTGACATATATCTGAAGTACATTATCAACATTCCATAACCAATTTCCACATATAAAAGGAAAATATCTTTTCATAATGCAACATACACATATCATTGGTTCTATATAATATTTGTACACAGTAAGACTTGTTTTTCCACAAATGACGTCCAATGTGGAGACGTGTAAAATGAATAGGATATGAATTAAACACAAAATTATAAGAAACATGAACGGAGTAAAATGCCACGATTCCTCAACTGAACAAATTCACACCATTAGTTTCTAATTGATTCAATGCTATTCTTACGTAAAAAAGTACTGTCATAATAGCTGTACTTTAAGAACCTCTGTAAAAAGGAAAAAAAAAGAAAAAATAGATATTTAATTTATGAAAATTACACTCAGTTTTTATTTTTCATATAAGAAATAAATCTTCCAGAATATAGTTTCACAATAATGTGGAAAATGACCCTGAAGGAGAAATTCACTACGTTTTTTGTGCAATACAAACACATATGTATTTTTAAATATAATAACTTCATATTAATTAACAAACAGTATTAGACAACAGATATTCATATCTTTTATATCATTTAAATGCTATATATATATATATATATATATATATATATGTATATATAGAGATAGATAGATAGATATATAAACAATGTATATATCTATATATATATATATTTGCGCCCATTCCCCAATTAAAAAAATATAATCACATCAAGGTTAAAACTANTATATATATATATATTTGCGCCCATTCCCCAATTAAAAAAATATAATCACATCAAGGTTAAAACTAAACATTGTTCAACATGATATGTTAAAATGCCTTTTTTTTTTTACTACAGAACTCAGCTTTGGAAACAGAGGCCATGATATGTTAACCAACCTCTGGCCTCAAAACAGCATATGACTTTGTTTACGATGGTGTAATTTACTATACTTTTTTGCAATATACCTTCAATTTGCATATTTAATTCAAAGGAACAGAGACCTCAAAATTGAGAGGAACACACTAATTTCTATCTTGACTATTGGTAAAATATAATTTAGTCAGTGTTATTTACATTTGTCTATCAGAAACACTTTCTGTCCTGATCCCCCACCCCAGTTGAACCAGTCTGACCTCTTCACTGCTAGGTTATTATTGGCTGAAATGCTCAATGGTGGTCACATGATTAGAGGTGCCTTCCCATTCCATCTGCTTTTCATATTGAGTCCTAGTGAGGACTGATGAACAAGCGTGAAGCAAAATCTCAGCTCAAGAAATAACCTGGAAAATTAAACAAAGTGCTCTTCTGATTTAATTATTATTATTTATAATATTATTGTTTTTATTGTTAGCAGTAGTAGTGGTAGGCCTCAATGTCTGACTCCCTTGTCTGCAGTACTGAGCTATGCCAGTACTCCCATATGGTAAAGTCTTTGTTTCATTATTTTGGAAAAACACAAGACCCACACAAAATAAACTTCTTATGTGTGTGACAAATTACTAGGGAGGATTTTTGGTTCGAGGCCCATGGACAGACATGAGATTTCACTTGGACGTGAAAGTGAAAATGTCTGTCGTTGTATAGGTTGAATGTAACGCTGACTACGGAATGCTTAGGATCTGGGAATCGAAAAGGAGCGATTTTTAATAATTGACAGTGCCTTCCCTGCTTGTCTGGGTGTCGGCACCCCACTGTCTTCACCTGCCTGAACTTTTTTTTTTTTGGGTACATTGTTTATCTAACAAGTTTCCACGGCGACATTGTGAGGAACCAACAATACACAGACATTCTCCTGGGCGACTCTCACAGCAGTAAAATATACTGAATAATAAACACGGTATCTTCTATTTTTCAGAATGCAGCCAAGGTCAGAATGATGTCGCACTCGAACATTGCAGTCTGGCTGCATGCATGAGCAGATGTCTTCAGCAGGAACTAAATGCAGAGACCAGAAGCCTTAACCACCCTGTCATCCCCTCCCACCCCCCGTCGTCAGATTTGGAGCAGAATACAGAATACTGATTCTCACCTTTTCAAGCCTTAAATGGATTTCCACCAAAGTACCTTCGAGATCTTCAGCTTTTCCCCAGTCACTACATTCACAATAAGCTGGTTATCTTTCACTACAGGAATCTAGGAAAAGAGGAAGCAGAGTAGACTTCCTGCTTCTCGGGTTTCCATGCTTCAAAAGATCTACCTACTCATGCCCACAGTTCAAACACTCCACAGGATGTGTAGAGTGTGTGAAGACCTCCCTGTTGGACCTGTGCTGAGAAGAGGACAGGTTCTGGCCATAGAGGGATCACCCCTATCAGCTGTCTTGTGGCACTGACCATCTGACAAGGTACATCCTGTGCCTCTGCCACATTTTTATGGTGTTGATGTAGCTCGTTCCTACAGGACTGCACCATATTGCACTTACTGTCTTATTCTAAATACTTTTCAACAAAACGCATAGCCCTTTTTCTGGTTTCCATCAAGCATCAATGTCCACCCAGCCCTGAACTAATATTCCAGACAAGACATCTCACAAGTAAAAGTGCGTAGAAAATGGTAGAGAAGATCCAGAATACCCAGCCCACCCTCAGTCTGATGCCTCTAGCTGGGTCACCTGACCACGATTATTCACTCGTGGTTGCGGACATCCTTGATGGGGCCTTTTTTCTTTACAACTTATTTTTCATTTTTATTTTAATTAACACCATTTCCAGAACATCTCAGTCCTATTCTTTGAAGTGGTTTTTCCCCAGTCATGTTACTCTGGGATTTCTTCTGTTTGGTGGTTCCCAAACCATTAACCATTATAAATCACTTTTTGGTGACTTGCTTGGAAAAATCGTACTAACTAAATAAATTTTGTTGGACAGCTTGAGCGATCAAATCACATTTCCTACTGACTTCTTTAGGCCCTCCTGATGTCAAGGTTCAGATGTAATATGTTGCATGTATTTGCTTCAACTCACATTGCTGAATCAGGGTATTCTGTGACAGTGGGGGGGGGGGCTTCCAGAATGAGAATCAGGGTGGGACTTTTCCTGGCTGCTTCGTTACTGCTGTCGCACTTTGGTTTGTTTTGTGTCCTGATAATGAAAGGATTGGGGTTTTTTTGAGCTCAACAACAACCTGGCAACATCATTGAAACCCTGGAGGGTTCCAGTGCATCCCAAGAAAGGGGCGGGGGGATAATACATAGAGACACAGGGTTGTGTTCCAACATCTTCCAATGCATAATTTAACAGCAGCAAACACTCTGGTCTGCACGCCGGCTGGTGATGATGAGGACACAGCCGGGAGGAAGATCTTTCTGCGATTCTGCAAAGCTTCGATGTAACATTGAACGATCCTCATGTCAAGTCCATGTAGCTTAATCCTCATCTTCTGCACAAATTCATCTTTAGTCCTGAAACCAAGCATGCCACCATCCCCTGGACCCTGTTTCCAGACACCACCGGCAAGAAGTTATGATGCACATTTAATAACGACTTATGCACGCACAGATACTTGTCCTTGCACGAATGGAAAAACACCAGTTGCATCAGGATGGATGTTTCATGCAGTACATGCACTGAAAGGTTGTCTCCAGCCATATTGCCTTGCGCTTACTTCCCTCTGACTCTGACACTCCAGAAGCAGGTGTAGGTGGGCAGACGTGGTACAGTTGTCCCAAATGATCACTGCGTTTTGACTCATCCGTCTGTTTTTCTCCCAGCGAAGCAGGAAAAATGAGTTTTTCTGCCTGGAAGGAGGCAGGACGTAGGTCGCTGCAGCAAGCCCAAAGCTAGGCCCCTTGCAATGTTACTTTTCTTTAAGTTGTGTTACTTTTTGCTGTCTTGCTCTGAGACGTCTGACGAAAGACAAAGACAAAGGGGGGAGGGGATTCCCCATGTGGACATGTCCATCCCTGGCTCCTCCTACTTCATGCCCCTGCGTAACATCTGATTGGCCGCAATGAGCATGACGCTGATGATGAACGCAATGGCGAAGGCACAAATTAGACTCTTCCGAACACAGGTGTGCTTGACCTGTTGCATTGGACTTGCTGCAGGGAAGATGAGAGGAAGGGAGGGAGCAAGAGAGGGAGAGAGCGAGAGAGAGATCTGAGACAGATGTGTCAGAGAGAGAATCTTCCCTAGATGTCTGCAGGTCCTGTGTGACCCGAACAAAATAGAGAGGAAGCCACGGAAACAGGCAGACTGCTTACTGTCGATATCCACCTGACACTCTGCGCTGTCCATGTGGTTCTCCTCGGTCATAATGATGTTCTCGATGTCCTTCATGGTCAGATGGTCACAGAAGGTGTCATACAGGAGCCTCTTCAGTTCGTCCACTGTCAGCTTCTGCATGTCACACTAGGGGGTGGGGGTGGGGGGAGGGGGGAGTCACTACCATGAAATATTCACAGCCTGGACCTGAATGTGCCCATTTGCTATCAAAACGGTTAGCTTTTAGGTACTACAACCGAAAAGTTGGGACGTTGTGCAAATTGTAAATAACAACAGAATGGAATGATATAGAAATCTCATAAACTCATATTTTATTCACAACAGAACATATAAAACATATCAAACGTTTAAAGTGAGACATTTTCCTATTTCATGAAAAATATTGGTTCATTTTGAATTTTATGACAGAAACACATCTCAAAAAAGTTGGGAGGGGGGGCAATAGGAGGCTGGATAAGTTAGTGGTACAAAAACCCAACAGCTGGAGGAACAATTTGCAAATAATTGCAAATTGCCACCAGTGTGTGAATGGGTGAATGTGAGGCATAGATTGTAAAGCGCTTTGGTACTCGTAAGAGTAGTAAAAAGCACTATATAAATGCAGTCCATTTACTATTTACCATAATTAGGTCAACTGGAAACTGGCCAGTAACATATAAAAAGAGTATCTTAGAGTTTCAGTGTCTCTCAGAAGTAAAAATGCGCAGAGGATCACCAATCCCCCTAATACTGCATTAACAAGTAGTGAAGCAATTTCAGAAAAAAAGTTCCTCAGCATAAAATTGCAAAGAGGTTGAAAATATCATCATTTACAGTATATAATATAATCAAAAGATTCAGAGAATCTGGAGAAATCTCTGTGCATAAGGGACAAGGCCGAAAAACCAAAGTGGACGCCCATGATCTTCGGGCCCTTAGGCGGCACTGCCACACAAATAGGTATGATTCTGCAATAGAAATCACTAAATGGCCTCAGGAATATTTCCAGAAAACACTGTCAGTGAACACAATTCGCCGTGTCATCTGCAAATGCCAGTTAAAACTCTATCATTCAAAGAAGAAGCCGTATTTGAACATGATCCAGAATCACCGATGTCTTCTCTGGGCCAAAGCTCATTTAAAATGGACTGTAGCTAAGTGGAGAACTGTTCTGTGGTCAGATGAATCTAAATCTGAAATTCTTTTTGGAAACCGTGGACACCGTGTCTTCCGGACTAAAGAGGAGAAGGACCACCCAGCGTGTTATCTGCGCTCAGTTCAAAAGCCAGCATCTCTGATGGTATGGGGGTGCATTAGTATATATGGGCAGCTTGCGTATCTGGAAAGGCACCATCAATGCTGAAAGGTATATCCAGGTTCTAGAGCAACAAATGCTCCCATCCAGATGGCATCTCTTTCAGGGAAGACCTTGCATTTTCCAACGTGACAATGCCAAAGCACACACTGCATCAATTACAACATCATAGCTTAGTAGAAGAAGGGTCCGGGTGCTGAACTGGCCTGCCAGCGGTCCAGATCTTTCACCCATTGAGAACATTTGGCACATCATAAAAAGAAAAATATGACACAGAAAACCTAGGACAGTTGAGCGACTCGAATCCTGTATCAGACAAGAATGGGACAACATTCCTCTCCCAAAACTCAAGCAACTGATCTCCTCTGTCTCCAGATGTTTACAGACTGTTGTTAAAAGAAGAGGGGATGCCACCCAATGGTAAACATGGCCTTGTCCAAACTATTTTGAGACGTGTTGCTGCCATGGCATTCAAAATTACCTTATTTTTTTCCTTAAAATGGCACATTTTCTCAGTTTAAACATTTCATATGTTTTATATGTTTTGTTATGAATAAAATATGAGTTTGTGAGATCTCCATATCATTGCATTTTGTTTTTATTTACAATTTGCACAACGTCCCAACTTTTTGGAATTGGGGTTGTATACGCATGTTCATTTTCACCCACAATTTGGTAAGCAGATTAGTAATATGGCTAAAAGTTATGTGACACCCAAAAGTTAGTAATCTGTATAAACTCAGCGTATATTAATGTTTATTTTATTTGGTTTGCGAGACACACCACATAATGCTGTTTTGGTATAATATGGTTTGGTATACTTCAGTGCGATATGCACTGTAGTGGAGCACACCACGTAATACTGTTTTGGTATACTGTGGTTTGGTATACTTCAATGCGATATACACCATAGTGGGGCACACCACGCAATACTGTTTTGGTATACTATGGTTTGGTATACGTCAATGCGATATACACCATAGTGGGGCACACCACGCAATACTGTTTTGGTATACTATAGTTTGGTATACTTCAGTGCGATATGCACCGTAGTGGAGCACACCACGTAATACTGATTTGGTATACTATGGTTTGGTATACTTCAATGCGATATACACCATATTGGGGCACACCACGCAATACTGTTTTGGTATACTATAGTTTGGTATACTTCAGTGTGAAACACACTGAAGTGGCAGTGATGAAAGGAACAGGAAGGGCTGAGCAAAATCACGTCAGAAACAGCTCAGCAGCTACGACACCTTTTATAAGAGGAGCTCTTATGGATAAACAAGGCAAAAAGATGTCTGTGGTGTGGTGGTACTTTCTGCAGTTTAAAGTCTTACACGTTTATTAAACATTAAATTTATATTGATTGCTAACTTTTGGGCATCTCAACATAATATTGCCTAGCCCTACTTCAGGAGTTAAAATGCTTCACAGAAATCATTAATCATGCAGCCCCAAGTTAGTTCCAAACAGGATAGCTCATTTTAATAAACAATCATTACATGCATCAGCAAATAAACGTGCTATACCATTTGATGTTATTACTATGATACAGAGTTTCAATTCATTCTAAATGTCGTCACATGTAACTTGCATTTAAAAACAAATGAATGTGCTACAGTAGCTGATTTATTTATTACTAGCTTATCACCCCTGTACTGTTCTGTATACAAACCAACATAATGGAATTATTCAAAGGTTTTCTGAAGTTTTTTGTTACATGGTGTCTGTGGACAGAAATATAACACAGAGCTCATTCAAGCTTTGCTATTACATGAAATTATATCAAATTTATTAATATTCAGTGTGCATAACCATGTAATGACTATAAAGCTTTAATCGGAAAAATGCTAATAAAGTCCATCAGGTCTGGTTGGTTATTCTATGACTGTTTCAAGCAAGCTAACATCATTCTTTCAGGGACAAAAGATAATTGATTTTTTTCTCTTAATAATGGTCCTGACTGCATCTCTCCTATGGTAATTTTAATTAGTACGCCTGGTTTATTATTGCAAAATAGAATTATCAAAGGGATATCTCTTCTCCCACCAAGGCGATATCTCATGAAAGTTCTAATTAAGTCCGGTAAAAAGCGAAGGAGAGACTGAAAAGGGAACTTTGATATGCTTACCTTCCAGAACACAGACAGAAAAGGGAATTTTGGAACGCTTACCTTCCGGGACACAGAATCACAGTCCAACCATTTTCCAGAACACTTAATCAAAGGCTGCTTACCTTCCAGAACACAGAATCAAAATCTGCTTCCCATCCAGAACACAAAGTCTCCATACCTTCCAGAAAACAGAATCAAAGTCCGTCCCATTGAACTTGTCTGGCATTCCGGCTGAAGACAGCTTTGGTCCAAGAAGGGTGACAAATTCGTCGAAATCAACTTGGCCATCTCCTGAAAGTCATTATTAATTCGGACTTCAGTCTTCTCTGAAACATTCCTCATACCTCAAGCAGTGAGTGAATACAGAAATCATATCAGCAGCAGTGCAGTGGTGGTTCTAGACCATTTCAATTGCGGGGGGGGGGGGGGGGGGGGGGGGGGGGGCAGACTGAGGCCAGATGTTATATTGGAGGGGGCAGATGCATTTGACCTAAATGTCCTCCAAGTATTACACACACTAGATTGCCAGCAGTAAGAAACAAAAGACGATTTTGAAAATCAATGTAATTTATGCAATGCTTTGCAGTCACATTTTACAGTTTTTACAAATACGTAACACACTCTGATTTCTTGTTTAGATTGTCTTGCTTCCACAAGCTTGATTATTTTTTTCTATCATTAACTTTGCTTTTCACCAGTTGAAGCGAATCAACCACCCATCAAGAAAATGTGCTTCTGTTCATGTTTGGCCGGTTCCCAGCCCACATATTCGAATGTAAATACTAGTAATAGTATAAAAATAATAAAACATTTGCTTCAAACCCAAGTAGCATATGCATATAAGGGGGTCAATGGGGGGGGGGGCTATGCATGTTGTCACGGGTGCACTACCCCCCCCCATCCCCCAAACCGCCCATGCAGTGTAGTGATCTCCTCAGATAATGAGGCCTGCTTTGCAGTGTTAGTGACACGTAACTGCTTCGGTTTCTCTCTTACGGGGTACTAGAAATTTTAGAATCTGAATTCGAATAAGCATGAGGAACTGCATGAGCGACACACACACAGACATGGGCTCATGCAAACATACTGTCTCCAATCAAATATCTTTCTCATTTTTTTTTAAAGAACAAACACGCAGATGTTCAAGCAGCTTGTGAAATGACCCAGCAATTTCATTCTGAAAGACTGAATTGCTCACATATATAATTATCGATTATGGAAAGATCACAGCAGGAAGCGTTAGCAGCTCACCGTCCATGTCCAGCCTCTGGATGATGACCTCCAGCTCCACCTCGTTGGGCATGTAGCCCAGGGAGCGCATGGCCATGCCCAGCTCCTGCTTGGAGATGAAGCCGTTTCCATCGCGGTCAAACACCTTGAAGGCTTCTCGGATCTCTGCGGGTGGGGAGGGAACAGCGAGGGATGGGGGCATTTAGACCCTCATAGCCTGACGCACCAGAAGTTGACAGATGCAGCCTCGTTAATCCCACTGTAATTTTCAACTGGAAATGGGCCACTGGCTCAACAGCGCTGGCCCGAAATCGCTGGCACGATAGAAGTCGCCACTGGCAGATGCATTCCTGTGCTGTCATCTACATCGCGTCCAAAGAAGCGTAATTGTTTTCCCTCGGCTGAACGAAATAATTCACTGTCTCACTCCAAATCGCGGGATTTCAGGGCAGCCTCATTTTTTTAGATGATTTACCCTCTTCAGAAACAATACTTAAACCTTAACACAGAACAATATCAGAAGACAGGCATAAGCTGCCGGCCAGATCTTTGGGGCTGTTTTCTGTTCTTTGTGAGGCTGAGAGGATTTTTTTAATCAGCATGCTCAGAAGCACAGCTATTGTGCTAATGAGGTCGCGACGCCCGAAGCTTTATCGTCAAACAGGTATCGTGTGGGAATAACTTCTAAGATATCCGGGTATTGAATAAAATATGCAGATAAGAGATGCGCAATAAATGCACATTAAAGTCTGGTCCATCATTTGTATTCACTCCAGCTTATTTGTCTGCGCGTCCTTTAATGGCCGGAGTCGTGATCTAAATTGTGATCTCACTTTAGGGCACTAATCCCTTTTCCTCTACTTCTGTGTCCCGCAGGTGACACACCGTGTTACAAAACACCATGTCGAGAGGACACAGGCCCTGCCGTCTGTTACATACCCAGGAAGAAAGTAAAACAAAATAATTGGGGGAAAAACATGGAAAAAAGCATAAATTAATGTATTTTAGGACAAGATAGACTTCTGTCATGTAACCCCTAATAAGAAACACTTCACGGTTAATCGATCATTAACCAGAACTCGCAAAGCCTTATTTGGTAAGAGAGCTGTCTATAGGACTGCTGGATAATCGAACCCTGGACTTTCTAACACAGTCTAAGGAGAGGAGCACCTAAAAACAAAAACATAGACCCACATCAATAAAAAAGAGGGATAAATGTACTTAAAAGTCAGTCCTAATGGTTTTGGAGATTAATAAACCTGTGTTTGCTTTTACATAATCCTACTTAAATTCACAATTCCCTCCAAATGGGTGTAACCTCATTGTGTCTGTGCCTTCAGTAGTGTACTACAAATTGCCTTGATTTCTGCATCCAAAACAGAGCATTAATAAAATTTTAAAGAAGAATAAATTACATTAATTTGTAACTAATCTGTATAATTTTAGTATCTGAGGCTATTATGTGCAAAAACACATCAAATTAAGTAGCTTACCAATAAAATCATGTCTGGGTTTTGCATAAAGCCCTTATCATTGCACCATAGCTAATATTAAAAATCACTTAAATTCTTTGACATGTTGTGTGGGAATCTGAACCAAAACAGTCACACAGCCAGAGGTGAAGGCTACCGAAATGTGAAGTCATGGGTCAATTGTTACCCGCACAGCTCCGCTCAAGACTGTCATAACAATGGCCCCCTGGGGTCAATCCATCACCCACAATCCCCCTTGCCTCTGGCTCCCAGCAGAACCGCAGGAGAGGAAGGATTTTCGAGTCAGCTTTCAGCACGTTTCATCACCTCTGCCTAAAGCACCATGGGTAACAGCTTTAGATGCACACCCCCACAGCCCTGACCCCCGCAACACCAGTGCAGCCAACACTTCAGGACCCCATCGTCTGGTAAACAGTCATCAATGTGAGTGGACAGCGAACGCAGCCTAACCCAGTCAAACCACAGGACTGCCTCTCTTCCTGCAGCTGTGACATCATCAGCAGGCGCTGGGATTTAACAAAACCGTATACAAACAACATTTTTGGTTGGAAAATCATGACTGTACTTTACTATAATACCTTACAGAGCTCATTGAGACCTGTGTAATTAAACAAAAGCTGAGCAGCTTTGTCAGTGACCAGAAAATCTAATCGTGTCAGAAACCATTCTCTCGTAGTAACCTGGCCTACATTGTGCCTGAGCTCTATAATTCACATTATCAGGACATTATCAGGACTGAATTCCATCCGTTGTACAGGAAGTTGAAGCTTTTTGTGGCTACCTGCTCTAATGATGTCCTTTTCCTAGGAACTGACGTTGAAATATGTGCCTAATGGCTTAGCTTCTGACCTAAAAACCGCAAAACGATTCCAGAGGAACTTCCTGACCAGCACATACATACATAACACACTTTTCTACAGTTATAGGCAAAAGACAAATGTTTTATTTGAGAAATTTTCAATCACGTAAGAATGCCCAAGATGCCTCAGCTTTGTGCTCTGTGTGGGCAGAGACAGGCGTCATGCCCCTCCAGGAGCCTATCCATGATAAACAGAAGATATATGGATGGTAGAATTAAGAGCGGCAGAAACTTTAAAAAGTCTTCTGCCTCCCCAGTTCTAATGTATGGGTCAAAGCAGGGCACCCGTGACAAGCAGGGATTTCCCGGTGTCACGTTTGCTATCTGTTGAGATAGTGTGTGGTGTACAGACTGGCTTTCTGTAAAGCCATGGTTAGCTTGGATATCACTCCCTACCTTTGTCTGCCAGGAGAGATGTGTGAACAGCGCCCCCTGTCTACAGTCAGGCGCATGCTTCGCTTCACCTCTGCATTGTAGGGGACAATGCGGCCCATCCCAGACAGGCACCCTGTCCTGGGCAAACCTCAGCCTTGTTCCATATGCTGCCTGGGTCAGGCTCCAAGCATCCTTACCATCATGAGGGTAAGAGGTTAGCAGATGGATGGATGGATGGATGGATGGATGGATGGATGGATGGATGTTCGGACCCACTTCAGTCGAAAGTTTGCTCTTGTGATGCCGAAATTCCAAGGTTCTGCCTAAATGATTTATCATATTTTTTATTTAAAAATGATGGTGAGCCTCCACACAGATATATGTACTGTGCCGGTTTTGACGAGATGTCTCCCTGGCGGAAAATTTTGAGTTACTTATTGGAAAACCCAAATACACATCTTTAATTCCTTCACCAGATGGGATGCTGTGTTTATACAGCGATATTGCCTCCGCAGCCACCTGCTGCCCTGCCTCTCCTGTTTCATCTCGAAACCTCTTTTTTCCCACGTTTCCTTTCCCTCGAAGGAGTGCAACCACTATATAAATATTTGAGTGCTTTGCAGATCAGTCCTGTGCGCTGCTGCTGGATTATCTGAGATGTCCTCGCCATGTCGAGGGAAATTGGATAACATCTTCACGGCCAAGCTAATCAACCGCATCCTCTGTGTAACCAAAAAAATGGACGGTTTTAGTTCAAACAGATGTAGCTGAAAATATGGTATGAGTCTTTTCACAAAGCGCCAGAATATGTTTGGCATAGAAATCTCGCCTGGGGCTGTTGGCTCCCCTTAGCAACACGAGCTTCAAAGAATGGGGAAAGACGTTGGCAGGCGTTTCCATCCCGCTCCCATAAACGACAATCCAGGGCGTATGATTCAAGGACAATGTCAATTGCTGGCTTGTAGAGGCCATCTTCCTCCATTGTTGGACAGATAAACCCGTGACCGTGGTACTATTTTTACCAAAATAGGCTGCCAGTCCTTCTGTAAAATGGTCATGTGCGGAGCCTTTGCTGACCCCGTGCAGCGGAATGACCACTGGCGACTCGGGCACGGATGTGGGAAACCGTACAGCAGGGGAATCTCAATTTGAGCGTGTGTGCATGCCGGCATGGGGCGAGGGGGACGTGACCTTCTCTTTTCACATGATCCAAGTCATCTAGCCCAACCCCCATGCAATATTCAGACCTGGAGCGGTCACTAGCCATTTGGAGTTAAACATTCAACTTTGTGATCGACCTTTAAAAGAAAAAAAACATCCTTTTTTTAGAACATGGATACAGACAAACACAGAGACATACGCACACACTCCAAAGCTGGAAATCTTTTCCACCAAACTCAACATTCTCTTTGAAGATGGAATAAAGAGGCAGCTTGAAGTACCGCTGAGGTTTCCACTAAGACCACAACAAACCTCATGCTTTATGGGTGTTTTTTTTTTCCAGGAATAAACACAAACGTGTAAAATTTTAAGACTGGGATTTGTGCTAAATCAGTGCATTTATCTTTGGCTGATTTTTTTGTTGCTGATGTCACAAAGAATGATTGACAAAGATATATCTGACACATATAATTTTACTGAGACTCAGGTCTGTTTAATATAACCACAATTTTTAAATGTTATATTCTGCAAATAGTAGAAATATCTTTACAAGTATAACATGTAATTGCAAGCCACAGGGAAAGATTATTTTTTTTAGTCCTGCTTTAGGCATCTGAAAATGCAACACATGTCATTTAAATCTCACTCCTGTGCTGTTTGTATTACCAGAACAGGAAGCCGTGAAGAGTAATGAAAGCTGGGGGTGTTTTCCACGGGGCACTTCTGATAAGGAGCTTATGCTGAAACACCCACGAGGAAACTGGGAGATCACAAGGAGGCCAAGTGCTGAATAGCCCCGGCCAGAGAGATGCTCATGGTCTGGGATGGCCACTGGCTTTTATTTACTTTATTATTGATTTTATTTTGTATTTAAGGTGACGGCTCGTACTTGCTTTCTTAAAGGACTGTCCAATCCGGGGCCAACTTTAATCCGTCCTCAGTGCCATGAACCTGTACTTTTACAGCAGGAAGCGGATTTTTACAAACCCCAGGAGGAACCTCCCAGGCTACCCCTTCAGGAGAGCAGGGGCTGTTGAGACACTGTTGGCTTCTGAAGTCCTGCCACCTGTGGCCTGGATGTGTAGGCGGTTCACTCTAAGAGGGTGATATTATCATGGTGAACAGGCATGGTGAACAAGTATGGTGAACAAGTATGATGAACAAGTGTGGTAAATAAACATGGTGAACAGACAGTAGCATTTTGTCCAGTAAAGAAATTAATAACCAAGATATTTTGGTAAACATCTAACACTACACAACAGATAAGCATGAAAAAC